AGACAGAGACATACAGTAGAGATAGAGACAGACAGTAAAGACAGAGACAGACAGTAGAGACAGAGACATACTGTAAAGATAGAGACATACAGTAAAGACAGAGACAGACAGTAGAGACAGAGACATACAGTAAAGATAGAGACAGACAGTAGAGACAGAGACAGACAGTTGACAGACAGTAGAGACAGAGACAGAAGACTAACCTGACATTGTCCCGGTGTTGGTAGTAAACATGTGTGAGGAGCAGACGGTGTCTCTGGTTGATGTTCTGGAGGAAGATGAGGAGCTGGAGGAAGAAGCTTCAGCTGTTCTGGCAGGAAGTGACTCGGATCACTGCTCCTACCCCCAGGTACGCATTGCACACAATGACCAGCAGGTGGCACCAGCCAGTTATTATTAATATTGTTATATTATTATAAGAGAGGGTAACACACTGTGTGCGTGTGTTTTTTCAGGGCTACGTGAAGCGTCAAGCTCTGTACGCCTGTAACACTTGTACACCAAAAGGTGGAGAAGCAGCAGGAGTGTGTTTGGCGTGTTCATATAAATGTCATGAAGGTCACAACCTCTTTGAACTCTACACCAAGAGGTGAGCAAACACATCATCAGGACACTTTGAATCCCTGATCAATATGTCCACAATATCGTCCTCAGACAGATGTGAGTTACCATCTGAGCCATGTGCTGTTTACATGTGAAGGACGTAAACCTGTGGTGGTAATAACAATATTTTCACGCTCCGTAAATCAATGAACCAGAATAAATGATAAAAGAACTGAAACTGTGTTTGTAAATAAATATTATTGTTTGTTTGTTTTATTTTTTCTTCTGTTTGTTTGTTTCTGCAGGAACTTTCGTTGTGACTGTGGAAACAGGAAGTTCACAGAGCTGCAGTGTAAACTCCATCCTGTTAGTCCACATCCAGTAAAATGACACAAATGAAATGAACACACGTGTTTTTCAGCTGTAAACAGATTTAACACGTTCATGGTTTTAGTATCATTTTTATTATCAGCTGTTCAAGGGTTGAACATGGCTCATAACGCCACCTGGTGTTTTAAACCATCTTGGACCTTGGGTCAGTTTTAGAAGTGGGTGGAGTCAGATTCAGAAGTGAAGTTATACTTCAAATAAACATCAGTTCATCATGGGTCAAACATGGCAGAAGAATCTGTTACCTGGCGTCCTCATAAATACATAAACACCTGTCAGGTCCCTATAACGTCTGTTAATGGTTGGTCCCCACAAAGCTTGTTAAACACGAGTGGTGTGTTTCAGGATAAAGACGAGGTCAACAGTCTGAATAAATACAGTCACAACTTCTTTGGAGCTTACTGCACCTGCAGCCGACCTTATCCAGACCCCGACGACCAGGTGAGACACCACAGCCTCTCAGCAGACCCCCAGGTGAGCTCTGCTCGCCACTGAATGTCTCTCTCTGATTGGCTGATTTGGTCTCCAGGTGGAGGACGAGATGATTCAGTGTGTGGTGTGTGAGGACTGGCTGCACGGCAGGGTGAGTACAACAGTACATCTGCAGTCATGTTACCTCCCATGATGCTTTGCCTGAGGAGGTTTAGACAAAAGTCATCAAACAGGTGTTATGAGTTAAAGGTCCAGTGTGGAAGATTCAGGTGGAAGATTTTATATAAAATAATCCTCATGATGTTTTCACTCGTGTGTTTCATCTAAATAGT